ACAACAAAACATATTAACTAATATTTAAAGCGTTAATAGAAAGTGAAAAATTATTTCCAACTTTATTTGTTTCAGCGCTAATTTTGAATATATATACGGAAAAAGATTGTAACGCAAATTTTCCTGACAAAATCACTTACAGACTAATTCAATAAAGGAATAATAACACAAAATTAGTGGTATAAAAGTTTATATAATGATTAAACTAAATGTAAAACTTCAACCATACACAACATTGAATCAACGTTGTATATACATTGGCTATATATCCGTATGGTCGTCCATAGTTGAATATTGGTTGAACAACGTCACGACCATATTTCAACGTTGTTTCAACGTTGAAACAACGTCGAGTGCCTGCTGGGAAGGGACAATTACACAAGTATGGTGTTGATCATGCGTTACACATATGGATTATAAATGATTGTATACATGTATATCCGTTGCTATTATATATAATAACCACGATCATAAAGAAATAACAAGTAATATTCTAATTTCTAGCATGCCGATCAAAGTTATAAATAATGAACAATGTCTTTCGTCCGTTCATTCAAAAGTGATATACAATTCTGGTAAAACCCAATGAACCATTGAAAAGTTTATAAGAATATCTTGTCATCATATATCTACTAGTTCATCTGCACCTGCTGTTTGGACGCCCTTTGATGCTTTGCATCAATGCTTTTCTTGTACTATAATGGTGGCAGCGTGATTTAATTCTAGCTGCGGCCTGTATTTTTGACGCTACCAGTCAGTCTCCACGTCAATTTTTTCTTGTTTGTTTTTTTGGGGGGTTTTTTTCCTCCATTTTTTTCCTCGTGGATTTTCCCCTTAAAAATTGTATACCGGTATCAATTTTTGTTCCCTAAACCTAGCAATTTATTAAATTGAATTGCAGAGGAATATTTTAAGCACGATATTTAATAATATTGTGTATTATTGGTTATAAATTGAATTTTATATCGGGAATTTTTATAAGGTATCTCGGGATACTTTCAACCGGTGTTTTTTTTCTGTGAATTATCTGTGAAGTTTTATAAATAAAGTGTTTTTTATAAACATTGTATTGCTTTATTATTTAATATGGCGATGTTCAACGAATTTCCAGATTTGACAGACATTGAGTCAACTCATGCCAAAGTTGCAATTACATTGTAATTATGCTACTAAGGATGAATTGGCTGAAATTCCAGGGGTAAGTGATAAGTTAGCTACCATTCTCTTATCGATTAGGGAAGCTGGTGGTTATATTACCCCAGACATATTGTCGGCAATATGTCGTAAACATTTTACCGGTGAAGAATTGGATAATATCGATTTTTCACTAAAAGAAAAAGTGGAAAAGTCTCCTTTCGATAAGGGAACTTCAGTCGATGAAGTTTCGGAAAAGGACAACTCGGCAGACAGATCATTTAAGTCGATTGATGATTTTTCAGGGTCTGATCATTCGGATACGCCGAAAATGAAAATTGCCGAAAGCAAAGCGGTTAAGTCTACTGGGACTTCAGGTACATTACATGATCCTGTAGTTCGGCCTAAAGAATTTAAGCCTACTGGGACTTCAGGAACAGTACATGATCCTGTAGTTCGACCTAAAGAATTTATGCCAAAGGTGCAGGGGAGTGCTTTGGGGTATTCGATGTCAGACTTTTCTACACCGAAAGTTCCCCGGGGTATTCCATCTGACTTTAGGCAATTTATGCCGTCTGCCTCAAATGTAGATATAACAACCCCTGTTAAACATAACATGCCTTATATGGCAGGGGGTTATAGGCAATTTATGCCGTCTACAACTAATGCAGGTGTTCTAAACCCTGATGTTAAACTTAACATGCCTAGTATGGAGGATGGTTATAATTATGACTATGGAACGCCGTTACGGTCAAAGTTGCCTGCAAGTGCTTTACCTAGAAATATAACGTTTGATGGTCGTGGCAGCTGGGAAGCTTTTCATTTAAAGTTTTCGCATTTCGCAGAACGCTGTCAATGGTCATCTGATGAAAATTAAATGCGTTATGTTGGGCGCTAGAGGGTAAATCGTTAGATTATTAAGTTATTTTGCATAAAAACGGCGAGGGGCGCTCGTATAGGTCACTGTGTGATAAGTTAGAGTCAAGATTTGGTGAGCAAATTTTGCCAGGTGCTGCACAGGCACAATTTCATCAGACGAATCAGAACTCGGGCGAGTCGATTGATGATTTTGTTGGACAGATTTCTTTCTTTGGCAGGTCAAGCATATAGTGACCTACGAGAGTCATTCGTGATTGACCAAGTCATGAATAGGTTTTGTTATAGCTTGTTGGATAAGGACGCGGGACATTATGTTTATATGCATAACCCCGAGTCTATTCAACAAGCTAAGTTGATCGTGCGTAAATATCAACAAAGTTATCAAGCTTTGTATGGTAAAAGTAAACACGATAAACGGCGTGAAGAGGAGAGGGTTTCTGCGGTTAGAACTGATAAACGTATCAGTCGTACACCGAAAGATAACTCTTTTAACTTACGTGTTACTGGGGGACACGGGCCAAAGGCGGGGGAAGGGGTCTAAGGTAGGGGAAAATAAACCCCGGGATCACCCAAAAAATGTGGCAGAGCTGGGAAGAAAACCAAAATGCCCTTGTTATAAAATTCTCCCCTTTTTTTTTGGAAAGGTGTCCGTATTGGTTTTTACGGAAGATAAACAACCGCCCAAAAATTTGGTTTTTCAAACTTCCGGGTGGGGTTTAACCCCCATTTATCTGGGGAAGGGGTCTCTAGAAAAATTAAAAGCCCTTTAAATCAAATTTCCAGGGGGGCTTTTTGGGGGCAAAACCCCGGGGCCAAAAGGGGATTTGGTCAAATTTGTAGAATCACTTAGTCCCCAACCTTTTGGAAAAAGAGCTGAAAGATTTATCCGACGGCTATTTAGGGATTCCCGTAATTCTAAAAGAAAACGGTTTTCCCGAGGGTTTTTGGCATTAAAACCTGTGGTAAAAAGCGAGATTTTTTTTTTACTGGAAAATTCCCTTCCCTTTTAAAGGTTTCAATGTTAGAGAAGGAGCAACAGGAGAACCTTGGACGGTTATTTGACATGTCCGAGGAAGATAAGTCCCAGCTTCCGCAATATCCAGATGGGTTTGATAGCCATTGTCATCTGGATAGAACCCTTAGGGAATTAAGGATTTCTGATGCTTCTCTAGAGGCATTAGAAAAGTATAATCCTCTGGAAACTCATGCGGTTAATCTAGTAGGAGTGGTTGGTGTGTTTTGTGACCCCGCCACGTATCCTACTAGAGAAGGGAGCCGGGCATGGGTGGATCAGGGGGTTGTACCAGTAATTGGTTACCATCCGAGATTGTCTTCCAGTGAGCCCAATCTAAGGAAGCTGGAGGAGGTCTTAAAATATCCAGGGGTAGCAGGTCTCGGGGAAATTGGCTTGGATCGTACTGAGGATCCTGAGAAGTGGGCTGACCAGATTCTGACGGTAGAGAGAATTCTCAATTATCTCTTACCCGAACACGTTCTGGTACTTCATTGCCGTAGTATTTCAAAATTGGCGGATGAAGCAATTCTATCCATGCTTCATTTGCTTACGGCACATCCCTATGTATGAAAATGTTCATAAGTCTAGCATCTTTATTTCAAGAGTTATCTCCTCTTAGTTTTTGCTTTTAAAAATGTTATATTCTGGTAACAACCAAGGGATGTTTAATAATTTATCCTCAGAGTCTCTGTCAGCTGTTCTGTCTGTCCGTTTCTAAAAACTGTTTCCTGAGATCACTTTTAAAGACATTGGAACTTTTCCAACAAATTTACTTAAAATGGAGAATAGTTGAAACATCAGTTATACATATTCATCCTGAGAAAACTGGATCTTTTGATTATATGTTCTATAAACTAAATAAGGGATATTTACTATGATACAGACAAACTAAGAACTCAAAAGATTTAAGTTTATTCATGTCATTCATTCATTCAATGACATAATTCAATGACTATTAGAGTTATTGTCCTTTGTTACTTTTCCATTGCTTTTTTTCTTATCGAGAGCATAACTTGAAAACTACTGGTTGGAATGGCATTCAATACAATTTTATACAATTGTCAAGTATATTGAGAGAAAGCACAATGCACAGAAACTATAACTCTTTCTTGACTCATTTAAGAGTTTTTGCCCTTTGTTACTTTTTATTGTCCAGTACATAACTTGAATAATTGATTGGAATTCAATGAGACTTCATACAATGGTCAAGGGCAGTGAGTTATAGCTCAGTGCACAAGAACCATAACTCTTTGGACTAATTACAGTTATTGCCCTTTGTTACTTTTTTTGTCCAGTGCATTACTTGAAAACTAGAAGTTGGAATTCTATACAACTTCATACAATGGTCAAGCGCAATTAGGGAAATACAGTGTACAATAACCATAACTCCTTCAGTATTTGTAGAGTTATTGCCCTTTGTTCCTTTTCCTTGTCCGGAGCATAACTTAAAAACTAATGTTTAGAATTCAATGCAACTTCATACAATGGTCAAGCGTAATGAGAAGAAGTGCAGTGCTTAAGAAGCGTTACTCTTTCTGGACTTATTACAGAGTAATTCTATGGTCAACCACATTGAAAGGAAATGCAACATACAAGAATCACAACTATCCTTAATTGCCCACAACCATAACTCTATTTCAATTCTTTTACAAGGTATTCTGTTACACAATCATAACTCTATTTCAATTCTTTTACAAGGTATTATGTTACTAGTAACTTCCTCATTTCCGAAGCAGTCTTGCGGGGGTTTTAATAACATTTAGTGATAGTTCTGGTTTATTTTATTATAAGTCTGATAGAATCCGATCTATTATGTCACCATTACTATGTATTCTATTGTTAAAATAAAAATGTCTATATTATATTCATCAAATTGATATTATGTTTAACTAAGTATAACCTGTTTAATGATTTATGATTATATTGCTGTTTTTACTTTAACATTAAAATGATAGGTTCGAAATGTACTAACCTGGGCAAGGAGGACAAATGATGACTGTCTCTTCAAACTTTGAATAAAACTTTTGGCAACTAAAATTTAAAAAAAGAATAAAGAAAAACAATATATATGAAATTGTTAAAGCTACCACATATACAAAATGTTAGTTTTCTGTTATCTTTTTATGGCTAGAAATGTTCCTATTATCTAGCTAGTCTTTTGAAGTATCTATTATCTTGTTAGCTCACCTGAGCACAACTTGCTCATGGTGAGCTATTGTGATCCTGCACCGTTTGCCATCGTACGTCGTCAACAATTTCTTTAAACAACATCTCCTCTTAAACCAATGACTGTACAGTAACCAAACTTTACAGGAATGATCCCTGGGTCAGGTCCCCTCCCAAAGTTGTTCAAATGGTTCCGGTCTGTTGCATAAGTAGGTCACGGGGCTAGAGGTTAGATAATTGGCATGAAGCATTTTGTAGTAGAACTGTACCAAGATTGTCCAAATTATAGCCCTGAGGTTAAAATTGACCTGGGGTCATAGGTTTTCCTTATATGTTTCTGGTAAAAAGTTTGAAATTCCTCTGAAAGAGCAAGACCTACGCTTAGATATTATGTGTGTAACATCATCTAATAAAAATATTCAGATATTAGCCCTGGGGTGAAAATTGGCCTCGCCCCAGGGTGTCATTGATCTTCCTTATATGTATATACATGTAGTAAAACCTTTAAAAACTCATCTTCTCTTAATTGACAAAGGCTAGATATAAGGCATGAAACATTTTCTGGTAAACCTCTACCAAGATTGTTTAAATTAAAGTCCTTTGGTAAAAATTGACCCCGCCTCGGCGGTCATTGATTTTCAATATGTACATTTAATAAAACAAAAAAAATAATCTTCTTTTCTGAAGATATAGGGCTTAGAGCTTTGATATTTGGTAAATGATACCATCTATATGTCCTCTAACAATATTGTTCAAAGTTTTTCTCTTGTGTCTAAATTTGTACCATCCTTGGGGCATAGGTTTCTATGATTTCCAGGACAGTTTCAAATATGGGTCATCTTGGGTCACAGCCCAAATATGGTAAAACCTCATTTACACGTAAGAAGCTAATGTTTTGATCCATATATCCTGGAAATTAGTTTGAAATGTTGTTATGATGATTTCTAGCTCAAGTTTGAATATGGGTCATCCTGGGTCAGAAAGGTTGATCTGATGATTTTTAGGGCAGTTTCAAATATGGGTCATCTTGGTCACAGCCCAAATATTAAAAAACCTCGTTAACACTTTAGAGGCTTCTGTTTTGGTCCAAATATCCTGGGAATTGGTCAGAAAGGTTGTTTGTATAATTCTAGCTGAAGTTTCAAAACTAGTTTATCTGTGGTCAAAAACTTTGTTACACAGCCCAAATATGGAAGAACCTTGCTAACAATGTAGAGGATACGGTTTAGGTCCAAATATCCTGGAAATTAGTCAGAAAGGATGTGTAGTTAGTGTATAGGTCATGTTTGAATATGGGTCATCTTGCAATCTGATTCAATTCAGGTCCTAATTTACGCTGTACATTATGATCTGACGATAACCAATAGGTTGTAACCTTCTCGTGAATTTTCAAACGAGCTTTTACAATTTTGAAAGCGATGCGTTTTCTAATTTTAACCGCTGGAAAACCAATACTTAGTTGGTAATTTTCATGATTTCGAGAGCACAAACACGGTGTTATCCATATACGCTGCAGGTTAACTGGCAAAACAATTTTGCCCATAAAAAAATGAGTCTATTATTTCAAATTAACTTGTTTCAAATTACTTCAAACAATTTTGTTTCTAATAAAAATCAAAAAATTGTTTTACTTCCATGGACAACGGTTTTTTTTCGATACTTCTTCTAATGTAACTGTAAAAACCGGTTTGATTGCAAAGCTTAAAAAAAGCTTTCTCAGGGAATCCAAATCATAATGAAGGCGAAACATATATACGGTGGTAATCAGACCTACATGAAAAAAAGTAGATCTAAACTTTAGTATGGGGTCAAAAACTAAGTCACACAACCTAAATTATGGAAAAATATTGTATACATTCTAGAGGTAATAATTCCATCCCAAATATCCTGAAACTTTTTTCACAAAGTTTTTTTTGATGATTTCTAGCTCAGCTTTGAACATGGGTCATCCGTGGTCAAAATCTAGTCACAGACCAAAAATGGATAAAAAATGTTATCACCAAATATCCCGGACATTGGTAAGAAAGATTGTTTAAATGATTTCCAGTTCAGGTCTGATTAAGGATCATCTGAGGTTAAAAAAAGTCACAGCACATAAAAAGGCATACATAGAAAAAAAAAAACCTTATTAACATTTGCACAATTTCAGATATGAATGTTATGATATTAGTTTAAGTTTATGGAATAATGTGTGCCTTTCATTAATTGCTAATAAAACTTTAAAGGATTGATTGGTAAGTCAAGTACTTGTACATATAACTTAAATAGAAGACATCACCATGGTGTGTTTGACTTTTGTAGCAAGTAATTTTAAAATCCTTCAAAGCTTGACACAGCTACACTTTGCCTTCAACCTCTATCTGTGACCTTCACCTTTTAGGTAGTGGTATGGGCCTTAGCCGCGGCACATTGTCTGTGGATACTTGTGCCAAGTTTTTTAAAAATCCTTCGATGAACAACAAAGTTACAGTCCGGACAGGAATGTGTACATCCTTCAAATAGTAAGTGTGACCTTGACCTTGGAGGTAGGGATATTGGTCTTGCACTCGACATGTCGTCTTGATGTAAAAAACATTCATGCCAAGTGATTTTAAAATCTGTTGATGCATGACAAAGTTACAGTACGGTCACAAACGCGTGTACCTTTATTCTCTTATTGTGATAGCGTGAACGTTTGGGACGAAGTAGGACAAAGTAGTGTAATTATTACGATATTTTCTCGATATTTTCTCGTATTTATGATTATCATTTGTTTTATTTACTAAACGTTCTTTGCAATGAAAATTGGAACATAAACGCTTTCAACATATTACAACATTATGTGTGTGCTATTTATGATTAAATATTGTACTATTTGTTAAGATGATATTCCGTTGGAGATACTTTTTTCGATTGTAGCCGTCAAATCCCATGTGTAGATGACATAGCCCTGAACGCACCTGGTGGCGGGTCCGTCTCAAAAATAGAAAACTTAACTTTTTTCTTATTTTAAGATTTGTTTAAAACGTTTATTTATTTGCGTTTAGAACAATAGGGCAATGATGGCCTATATATTGCTCATCTGAATATTAATACTCTCCATGGCAAGGAACAAGGAATATTGTAAACTATAAACAAAAGCAGATACAAAATCTAAACCTTAAATTAAGATCACAAAGTTCATATTGCTATCTGATAATAGAGCACATTAAAAACATTAATACTACTTGCTATTGCTAATGGAAAACAGTTACAACTTTGTTACAAATATAGAAGATTATTTTTCTTTTTACTCTATACATATAAGGAAAGATCATTGACCCCATGGGGCGTGCCAGTTTTGTCCCTAGGGCATTTATTTGAACAAACTTTGTAGACATCCACTAGAAGATGTTTCATGCCAATATCTTTCGGATTGTTGCAAGTATTTTTTTTAAGTTTGTACTATATACATAATTATAAGGAAAATAATTGACCCCCTGGGGCGGGTCCAATTTTGACCCTAGGGCTTTTATTTAATCAAACTTTGTAGACATTCACTAGATGATGTTATATGCCATATATCTAAGCTCTAGCGCTTTTGGATTTACACAAGAGATTTTTTAGGTTTTTACTATATACATGTCCATATTAGGAAAATCAATGACCCCATGGGGCGGGGCCAGTATTGACCCTAAGGCTTTTATTTGATCAAGCTTCGTAGACGTTCACTAGAAGATGTTTTATGCCAAATATCTAAGCTCTATTTCTTTTGATATTTTAAAAAGAATTTTTTTTTAAAGTTGTTTTTCTTTTGGTTGCCATTGCAACCAGAATTAAGCATGGAATGGAATTCTTTGAACAATTTGTAAAGTTGAACAACTTGTAAAGGGCTTCATGACAAGGAACATTCCTGTTTAGTTTTAACAATATTAGCTTATTGGTATAGGAGGAGTTGTTGTTTTAAGAGTTTGACGCCTTTTTAAAAGGACACACGACACACCACGTACGATGAGTGAAAGTAAAAAAGTCGAGCGTTGCCCCCACCCGGAGGTGATTCTTCTTCATTCAAGGGCTATAACTCGGCCAAAAATTATTCAACCGGAAAACCCGTTTAATATATACCAGAACTTGAGGTAACTATTAATCATGTAAAGTTTCATTTAAAATGCATTTTAGTAGTATAAGAGAAGTAGTCCGAACAAAACCATAAAAAATAAAAACAATCATTAAAGGGCCATAACTTTGACAAAAACCATTGAACATTAAAATACCAATGATTTGCACAACTAGACTAAGTACTGATCATTCCTTTAAGTTTTACAGTAGTTTCTAAGAAGTCTGGACAAGCTTCTGTGTAGCTGGCAACACAAAAAACACCTTTTTATTCAAGCGCCATAACTCGGTCAAAAACCATTCAAGTGGAAAACCCGTGTACTATGCGAAACAATTTGAACTAAGATCAATCTGTTAAAACTTAAAAAAAAATCAAAATCATTTAAGGGTCATAACTCTGAAAAAAATCATTGAACCAGAAAATGCCGACGAAATGAACAACTAGACTTAGTTCTGATCATTCCTGAAAAGTTTGGATGAATTGCACCAGTAGTTTCTGAGGCGTAGTAGTTCGGTCAATTTTTGACGGACGGACAGACAGACGACGGAGAAGTGATCCGTTGTAGTGGCGACACAAAAATGTTGTTTTTTGATCTGCCAGTTACACAGAAGGTTACCTGGACTACTCCCAGGAATATTGGTGCAATTTCATAGAAACTTTACAGGAAGATCAATACCATGTCTGATTGTGCATCTCATCGACATGTTAAGGCTCACTGATTTTTGCCTTTCATAATTTTAATCTTTAAGATTTTTGTCCGGACTCCTCCTCTTATACCACTTATGCAATGTCAGTGAAACTTTACATGATTGATCGGTACCTCAAGTACTTAATGCATAGTACACTGGTTTTTACGTTGTGACCTGTTAATGATTTTTGTGTCTCCTGCTACAAAGTAGCTGCAACATTAAATTGAATTGGTCACTGATCGCTCTTGTTCTTATACATATTAAGCTGCATGAGGAACATCAATAATATACTTGTATTTTACACTCCTCAATACATTTATTGTCAAACTACTTGATTTTAAAATATGATTTAAAATAATTTTAAGTTTTATTATTTTAAGGCCAAAACACTACCAGTATGCTAAAGATGACTTTAATGTCAATCGAATAAATTAATTCTTGCTTGTGTTACATAATTTATGTGTTCGTTTACAAAAAAAAATAGAAACGACAAATGTGATTCTACTCAACACGAAAACAAACGTCATTATGTGACCACACATTTCACAGACGTGACAAATGTGATCCGTGAGAAATATGCACGTACATACCTTCAAGTTTTCGTAGTTGGATGTGTGCAGGAACTGTTTCCATAGATGTTTCTAACCAGTAAGGTAGGAATTTTGTAAACATTCTCATGTCCCCGTACAATCTGATAAATAGATGTGGTATTTTTCATAAATTAGAATAACAGATGCGTGTCGCCACTAGATAACGAAAGAAAAAGCAGTTATTAATGATTTCGGCAACACCACTAAGGAAACGAAATGGAAAAAAATACACTAGTCTTTTCTTAAATTCCTTAAACTAAGTTCTGTTGAAATACGACTGTGTTTGAATGGTAGAAGAAACTATTTTTCCTGCTTCAAATTCAAGTAAAAATATTAAGATATGAAACCGTGTCAATAACCATATTATAAACTTGCAAAACGAATGGAAAGCCAATGTTTAACTCACCTAAGCACGAAGTGCTCAACGTGAGCTTTTGTGATTAAAATTTGGCTGGCGTCCGTCGTCCATCAGTGCGTCCGTTGTCAACGTTTTATACTCAGAAACCACTGGGCCAAATTTGATGACATTTTCCTGGGATGTTTAAATGGTTCTGCTCAATTGAACATCTGCGTAAGGAGGGCCAAAAATAGATTTAATTCATGAAGTTGAAATCCTGAATTCGTGAAGTTGAAGTCGTGAATTCATGAAACCGAAAACATTAATTCGTGAATTCCGTATGTTGAAAATGGGAATTCACGAAGTTTAGATTGTGAATTCATGAAGATGAAATCGGGAATTCATGAAGTTGGATTGGCCCTACTGGTCTTTCGTATGATGCCGACTTGATTACTGTAACCATTAAATTCATTTACAATGAATAACTATGGTGCATCATGTAGATGTGGTTACCTTTAACTTGAAACGGGCTATAACTGGCCGCACAATTAAACCTTGAAATAGACCATACGATGCTTTTTTAATGCAAGAAACAGATAGACTCGTCCAATTTAAAGGAGGGAGCACTACGTATTTAAAGAAAACGAAGACATTATATAAACACGCAAAATGACATTAATATTGTTGTTCAGATACAATGTGTGATTAGTAATGACATTTTTTGCCATTTTTCTTTTATGAACTTTGTTACTTTTGTTCAATGATCACAATTATACTGATTTGTGCCGTCTGCTACTAGTAACTGTGTTTACCTCTAAACTAAAAGAAAAACTTTCTGAAAACAAAATGGCGATGTCCATAAAACAAAATGGCGCCCTCCATATACATTCTGAATGCTTTAGATTTCTAGGTTATTTTAATATCTTCACGTCTCAGTGAGTTTCATCAATCATAGTTATTCCATTCGTGAGAAGGAAGAATAAAGTTATATTGCATAATCTTTTTCCTACTGATATTTATCTTATTTCCTGGGCAATTTATATATTACGTGCTTGGCACATATTTATATACGCAAAAGAATGTGCAATAAGTTGAATTTCGGGAAGGAAGTTCACTGTTGTATGGTCAATGAGAGGCGAAATGTGGAAAAATTCTGTTGATGTCGACAATAGAGTTCTCGCCCCTTAACCGTTCTAAATCACTTTGATTGTTGTACAATGTTATATGATTAAACCTAAACAAGTTAAATGTTGATGCTGTACATCAAAGACGCCGCCAAATGATGTGAACAAGTAATGTACAAAATCAGCCTTGAAAATCGTTCTCTATTACAGTTAATTTATCCGAAGCACTAGTCAATTTTTCCTCCATGTTCTTGGTATGTGCTCGTTGTTTAATAATTACGTTGCATATTTTTGTGAAAAAGTATAACCTAATACATAAATTCCCAAAGTAATGCCTTGTCTGAAATTCTGAAATGTTTGTCTGTTGCTTCAAAAATTGAAAGGTCTTGAAAGCAAAATAAATTGGATAACAAGTAAAATTGAAATGATTGGTATACTTAAAATAAATTCAAGACATAGACAGAGGTAAAAAAAATCTTCGTTGCGCCGAAAATATGTCCATTTAAATATTGGTGCGAATTGCATAATGTTCGAATGATTTTGAGGACGAACTATTCTGTTATTTTACAAATAACAAAATATGTCTGTAATATCAACTAATAGTTATGAATAAATTGTTAAATATAATCAATTCTTAGTTTCGTATTGTTTTCTTATTTCTAAAAGATTAAACTACTTGATTAAACACAAGTTTGCATATTTGCATCACGGGTCTATTTGAGCTAAAGGTTCATTCTTTACAATTGAGAGAGAACCACCTCTCTAATAGTAGGCGTGGTACTTGCAATTTAATGATTCGTCCTAATGTTGCAGGTACGTGATATTGATCATAGTTGTCCTGGTTCCCTTCCCTCCGTCAACGAAGGCTAAATGCTAGCATACAGAGTAATCATTTTGTGACAATTTAAGGCGGAGTCGTACTTTAATATATTAGAGGCGTAGCAAATGAAGTGATTGACACTGCCACAGTCGTTGTCTCTCTCAACTGTTAAGTTTTAAAACGATCGACTATAGACTAGCTCATTGGCATGTTAATTATTAGGTAAATAAAATTAGATTATGATAAAAAGAATATAATATTCAAACATGGCACTATCACTTCAGTTAAACGTTAATTTTAATCCCTTAAAGCTCGGTGACATGTTGTACAGCAGAAAAGCTATTTTTATTAGAAAATTTGACAACAGTGTGATCTTGTTAAAACAAAAAAAAGATACACAAAATCAAGTCTAAAATTTTCCCCATTGCTGAATATGCGAATGCATATCTACTACATGCCGCGTGCAGCGCGGCGTCGAATAACAAAGCATCAGAGACCTGGCTACATTTAGCATAAACATTAAATAATGGAAATAAGCGAAAGCAATAAGAAGTAGGGAATAATAAAGTCGATTTTGAATGACTTCTACAAAAAAGTAATATAAAAAGAACTTTACCGTAAATTAGTTTGTATAGAGCATGAAGAAAGGTAGATAATACATAAAGGTATGATCAAAAAGTTCTCAGTCCGATATATACGTCTAGCGCTTACATTTACATTTACACACGATACGTCGATACCGATATCTTATTGAAGATTACTGACCCAGTTACAGGCGGTTTTACACAGATTTAGGAACATAAAACACACTTTGATCAGTAGAGGGGTGTGTCATTTAGACCAAATGGAGAAAGTTGAAATCAGAGCCGCCGTCATTAAGTACCATTGTAAGAAAGGGATGTCCCCCAAGGAAATCCATGAAGAGATCATGGATGCACTTGGGGAGCAGTTCCCTCCCTATAGCACAGTGAAAAATGGGCTGCTGAATTTAAGAGGGGCAGGGACAGTATTGGAGATAATGAGCGGCCTGGGCGGCCAAAAGAGGCCACCAACGATGAAACTGCCGAAGCTATGCACGATCCGGTCATTTGCGACAGAAGGCGAGACCTGCGAAGCATTGCTAGGGAAGTGGGTATGAGCGTTGGTCAGTTTAGGTAATTCTGACTGATGTGTATTGCATGTCAAAGATTTCCGCTAGATTGGTCCCCATACAGTTGACTGACGACCAGAAACGGATCAGGCTTGATATTTCAAGATATCTTTTGTCTGGCTACGAGGATGAACCTGATTTAATCTACCAGATCATAACTCAGGATGAAACATGGGTCCATCACTTTGATCCAGAGTCAAAACAAAACAGAACATGCAGTGAAAGCAACCTGGCTCACCCCCTCGGAAAAAATTTAAAAGGTTGCCATCAGCAGGGAAGATGATAGCTTCAGCTTTTTTTTTGATAGACAGGGGATAATCATGTTTGACTATCTTGAGCAAGGTCGTACCATTAACGTACTATGCAGATGAATTGAGACGTCTCTGTCAAGAAATCGCGCGTAAAGGAGGGGCAAACTGACTTAATGCGTTCTGCTCCTGCACGACAATGCGCCAGCTCACACATCCCAAGTTGCGATGGCTGCTGCAACTGACTGCGGCTTTGAACTTCTTCCCCATACCCCCATTACTCTCCGGACTTGACCTCTGACTTCTACCGTGTTTTCGAAACCTGAAACAAAGTTTCGTGGTAGCGTTTTCAAAAGCAATGAAGATGTCACGGACGGGCGTGGTCAATGAGATCCTTTGAGGACCCACATGAAGAGTTTCAATTTGAAGGGTTAAGCGAGCGTGATACACAGGGGGGCAACAGTGGCATGATGTCTCGTCATATTGAAAAAGTAAGCCATTAGTCTGGTTCTCTGATACCGGAAGCAGTAATCGCGCCATTAACTTTTTGAGATGGAGAGTGCCTCGTTTGATTGACGTTAACTGTTTAATATCCAAAACAGTACGATAAATGACTTATGCATGTTCAATAGTTATCACAATGCAAGAATTACACAAGTTTGAAAATGGAATCAAACATGATACAAGTTTTAAAAATATTATAAAGCAATATGGAATCGAGCATAATTCAAGTTCCAATGTCATCAAGAAAGATAGAATTAATGCATTAATTCTGTTCCATAGCTATTTATGCCGTAAGCCTTATAAAGTGCAACAATGCAATATCCTTACGTAAACAGCAGCTGTACGAGCTGAAAACAGTGAACGGTGTTACAGTCATGTTACAGTCAACGTTTACACGACTAAGTTTTCTACATCATATTTTGAGAGCTACACTTTTATTTGCTTTGCTAAGGGTTATATGCATTTCAAGCCATTTGTATTCTAAGTGGCAATGATAGAATAACATAATTGATTTACTTGAAAAAAGCTGTAAAAGCCACGTATGTTCTCTAAACGGGCAGGAATTAATTTCCTATCCCCGACAGATTCGTCTAGATTAAATCAGCTTATCATTTAATACGTTCGAAAATTAGAAAGTAGCAAGCTTCCGTAAAGTGTTCGTTTTAATCTGCAGTAAAAATAAACTATCAATATACAATAAAGCATAACAGATAAAGCATTTTAAACACAAGCTAATAGATTCCTAAAACATGCCATCGTAACCATTGCAAAATTTCATGCTACGGTAATTACATATAGGTACCAGTGTTGCTAAGCAAGGAGATTAATTTAGTAGAGTCGTTAACAAGATTTATAACAAAGTTAAACAAAATTCATAGATTGTGCACGATTATTATTGCAACTTTGTTGATACAAGGGAACTTGGACACAATTAAAGAAAAAGAAACTGTGAGCGGCGGTATATCCCAAATAATTGTAACGTCACGTCATGTCGTCTGAAGTCATCTGTATACGTGATCAAGATACGATGTCAAGATTTATTACAGGTTATATGACAGAAACTGTAAACTGTTTATAGCTTATAGAGCTATATGATAAACTATTAAGAGTTAGGTATTGCAAAGAAAATCATATTGCGATATTTACAGACATATTGCAAAATACATTTATTCCATTATACAATTAACAAATCTTTTAAGTGTGCATGTATAAATGGTCTCATATGTGTGTGACTATGTTGATATGATCATGCTCAAATTGTCATTAAATACAGTTGAGAGACATGGTATGATATTTCATTTGTTAAATTTCATAAGAAACACAAATGTAATTAACATGATCAATAAATGTGAAAGTGCTTATAAGCCAATGTCGCAAAATAAATGTATCATTGAAAATTATTCTTATATTGTATCCCCACCCTGACTGTTGATTACAACCTGGTAGCGTTGTCTGATGGATGTGACCCAAACTTCGTAATATTGGGGTAAATTTATTCACTGTTAGACAATTTTCGTATAAAGGTAGTGGAAGGTTTGTGGCACTGCACAAGAACTTCTTTTGAGGCGGTTCATTTTACCCCGTATAGCTTCACATTTAAGTCTAGAGATTTTGGTAATATTCCATTACGTTGATGTTGTTTATAAATGTTCAGAAAAATTGTTGGCACTCGTAAGACATCCTGTAGAAACTGCACGCATATGTTATTCTTTAGACATTGATAAAACCGAAGTTTGAAGCTCGTCGAATTGGTTATGATCGGCGCTGAAATTACCATGAAAGAACACATTATAGTCTTCCTGAACTTCCATGTGGAGTGCATCAGACCATCGCTCAGTAACGAGCAAAGATTTATAAAACTAAAATTTACCCCAAAATCAACGATAAATCAAACTGCCATGTTGATATTAAAGTCAACTAGGTATACGTTGGTTTGGAACAGAGATCACAGGTGTTTAAATTTTGCGACATTTACTTTTTACACAACATCACATTTATTGGATATGTTTATTAATTAAATTAGCGTATGTTATAGAACTAAATAAATGGAATATCATGCCATGTATCTCAACAGTCTTTCTTTAAAATTCATGCACACTTATAAGATTTGTTAAGTGTAATATGAACTTTAATAAGATGCTTGAAACTTACAGAACCTTGACTTTAAGAGTTTATCATTTAATTTTAAGTCTGTGAGAGGCCCTCACAATGAAGGAGTTTCAATAAATTAATGTAAATCCATTTGAAGTCAAGCTAGTACTCTGTACAAGAAGTATACTTGTATCTTTAATATTATTTTTTGTTTCTATTAAAAGTTTATAGCTTCAGTATATTGCGATATCTGAAAACATTGCAATAAAATATTGTGATGTCCACTATATTACGAAATACTGCACAACCCTATAAACAATTGTATATACATTATACACAACCGGCCATTTAGTCGTGTCACAAAACTCATTATAACGAATTAACGCACAATTGCTTTTATTGAGGTTAAATAAAAACAATTATTGTCGTTACAAACGTACATTATAATAATAATAATAATAAAAAAATAAATATAAAAAATATACTTTGTTTATATTTCTAAAGTCAGTAGTTTGATTTAAAGAAACATTGTAAATCTGCTTAGATTATAAGACAAATACTAACGATTGTGGTATCTCTTGTATACTTGAAGGAATCAACACGTCCACCAGTACCTGAAATAATACACACAAATCTATGTATAATTATTCTTCATGTAGTCATTACGAAACATAATGGCATCATTATTTTATAATCATTCTTACGAATTAGAAGTCAACGCACAACATAAATGCTTCTGACTTGACAAATGACATAAAAGTTTGTGACAGTATACGACAAAAGAGATTAATGTACGTGATTCGACACCGATATAAATGCCTCTGACTCGGCACACAACAAAAAACTGTGACGACTCAGCACATGGCATAAACGCCTGTAACTCATGTGTATGACCCGACAAACGACATAGATGGCTGTGACTCATGTGTATGACCCGGCAAACGACATAAATGGCTGTGACTCATGTATATGACCCGACAAACGACATAGATGGCTGTGAGTCATGTATATGACCCGGCAAACGACATAAACGTCTGTGACTCATGTATATGACCCGGCAAACGACATAAACGGCTATGAGTCATGTATATGACCCGGCAAACGACATAGATGGCTGTGGCTCATGTATATGACCCGGCAAACGATATAGATGGCTGTGACTCATGTATATGACCCGGCAAACGACATAGATGGCTGTGACTCATGTATATGACCCGGCAAAACGACATAGATGGCTGTGACTCATGTATATGACCCGGCAAACGACATAGATGGCTGTGACTCATGTGTATGGCCCGACAAAACGACATAAGATGGCTGTGAGTTCATGTATATGACCCGGCAAAACGACATAGATGGCTGTGACTCATGTGTATGACCGACCCGGCAAACGATATAAATGGCTGTAACCTATGTATATGTCCCGGCAAACGACATAAATGGCTGTGGCTCATTTATATGACCCGGCAAACGACATAGATGGCTGTGGGCTCATGTGTATGACCCGGCAAACGACATAGATGGCTGTGACTCATGTATATGCCCGGCAAACGACATAGATGGCTGTGACTTATGTGTATGACCCGACAAACGACATTAGATGGCTGTGACTCATGTTGTATTGACCGACCCGGCAAACGATATAAATGGCTGTAACTTATGTATATGTCCCGGCAAACGACATTAATGGGCTGTTGACTCATTTATATGACCCCGCAAACGACATAGGATGGCTGTGACTCATGTATATGACCCGGCAAAACGACATAGATGGCTGTGACTCATGTATATGACCCGGCAAACGACATAGATGGCTTGACTCATGTATATGACCCGACAAACGACATAAATGGCTGTGGCTCATGTATATGACCCGGCAAACGACATAGATGGATGTTGACTCTGTATGACGACCCGGCAAACGACATAGATGGCTGTGACTCATGTATATGACCCGGCAAACGACATAGATGGCTGTGACTCATGTGTATGACCCGACAAACGACATAGATGGCTGTGAGTCATGAATATTTGACCCGGCAAACGACATAGATGGCTGTGACTCATGTGTATGACCGACCCGGCAAACGATATAAATGGCTGTAACTTATGTATATGTCCCGGCAAACGACATAAATGGCTGTGGCTCATTTATATGACCCGGCAAACGACAATAGATGGCTGTGGCTCATGTGTATGACCCGGAAAACGACATAGATGGCTGTGACTCATGTATATGACCCGGCAAACGACATAGATGGCTGTGACTTATGTGTATGACCCGACAAACGACATAGATGGCTGTGACTCATGTGTATGACCGACCCGGCAAACGATATAAATGGCTGTAACTTATGTATATGTCCCGGCAAACGACATTAATGGCTGTGACTCATTTATATGACCCGGCAAACGACATAGATGGCTGTGACTCATGTATATGACCCGGCAAACGACATAGATGGCTGTGACTCATGTATATGACCCGGCAAACGACATAGATGGCTGTGACTCATGTATATGACCCGACAAACGACATAGATGGCTGTGACTCATGTATATGACCCGGCAAACGACATAGATGGCTGTGACTCATGTGTATTGACCCCGACAAACGACATAGATGGCTGTGACTCATGTATATGACCCGGCAAACGACATAGATGGCTGTGAGTCATGTATATGACCCGGCAAACGACATAGATGGCTGTGAGTCATGTATATGTCCCGACAAACGACATTAATGGCTGTGACTCATTTATATGACCCGGCAAACGACATAGATGGCTGTGACTCATGTATATGACCCGGCAAACGACATAGATGTCTGTTGCTCATGTATATGACCCGGCAAACGACATAGATGGCTGTGACTCATGTATATGACCCGACAAACGACATAGATGTCTGTTGCTCATGTATATGACCCGGCAAACGACATAGATGGCTGTGACTCATGTATATGACCCGACAAACGACATAAATGGCTGTGGCTCATGTATATGACCCGGCAAACGACATAGATGGCTGTGACTCATGTATATGACCCGGCAAAGGAGATAAATGGCTGTAACTCGGAACACAACATAAATGGCTGTGACTTAACACACAATATCAATGTTTGTGACATACCTATCAATATGTAAAGCATTATTAAAATTTAAGAATACCTACCTTATAAAGAATAGAATCACATAAAGATATGATATCGGCGATAACCTCACAGTGTAATAAATCAACCAAATGCTCGGGCATACCTTGCCAGAAATGGACCAAAAAGTTTTGCACCTGTAGTAAAAAATAAAATAAACTGCTTCACATATAATTTAATCAAATACCTGTAAAACAAAATAGATCTAACAAACTTAGAAATTAGAAAAGTTTTATGTACGCGCAGAGTTCAGTTTTGATTAAAAACATACAAAAATTCAGGGGTTAAAAACTCATGTGTCAGTGATTTTAATATATAACTTATATTTAAACCGTAACATGTAGTATATGAAATAACTAATATTAACTCTTTGCATTTTTATATACTTAACCAAAACAGAAACCTGACAATATGTTATTTATTAAATTCTGAACATATGATCGGGATAAAGTCAAACCAAAGATGGGACATTATACTGCAATGTCTTCCTGAAGAATTTATTAATGTGATTTTTCTAGGGCATGCGTCAAAATGTTAAATAACGTCCAATGTAAGGTAGGGGTCAAAACTGATTTTGGCATATTAAAGTTTTTGCCATTAGGTTGCTTTTCAGAGGTGATAACTTGAAATTTCTAGCGAGTTTGTCTGATAATCGAAGTTCTAATGCACCCTAGTACCTGTTATGACCACCTCTGGCTCTAATGAGTGTTTCAATACGTCTTCTCATCGAGTTTACATATTGTTGACGCCTGACAAGGGCATTTGCTAGCTCGTTAACAGTGCGAGGTGGTGCATGACAACGACGTCGCCCCAGGTCGCCCCAAATGTGCTCCACTGGATACACGTCCGGAGAATTTGCAGGCCAATGCATGACGTTTACGTTAGCCGCTGCAAGGCGAGCTTGCGTGATCCTTGCAACATGCGGGCGTGCATTGTCCTGCTGAAACACAACTGGAGTATTCCTTTGCATGAAAGGAATCGCTTCTGCATTCAAAACTTCATTTATATACCTTTGGGCATTTAATTTGCCTCGAATGACTAAAAGTCTTGTCTTTTGTCCCCCATAATACCACCCCAAACCATAACTCCCCCGCCCCGAAACGATCATGTTCTCTGACACAAACAGGAGAAACTCTTTTACCCTGTCTACGATAGACACGTTGACGTCCATCAGCGTTACTCAAGTTGAATTTGGATTCATCTGAAAGGAAGACTCTGTTCCAGTCTCGTCTACGCTAACGACGATGTAAAAGTGCCCAGCGTAAACGTGCCTGCCGATGACGAATGTCAAAATACTGCCTGTGTATGGACGCTGCGCTCTAATAGGGCGATTTTGTTCACGTAGCCGATTTCTAATTGTTTGTGAGCACACTTTGTACGCTGGTGCCGTCAACGTCGCAGTTTGGAATCTGTGACGTAAATGCGTAAAAACCATGTACTGATCGTCCCATTGGCTAGTTGCTCTTGGTCTACATGACTGACCTAGGACGATCATGCACATCACCTGTCAGCCTAAAGCGCCTGACAAAACGGTATCCTGTTGAGGCCATTCATAATGTCGCCGTCGCGTTTGCACATACGACAACGCGAAATGACATATCGATATTACGAAGTGACACCCGACAATCACAAACGACGGCGACAATCTCAAACGACAATGTCGCGATATCCACTTTAAAATGTCGCCTATTAAAGTACGATATATCGCGATGTCGCTTCGCACTGTCGAGTGTCGTATCGCATTGTCGCTATGTCACTTTGCGTTGTCGCGATGTCACTTCGCGTTGCCGTGTGTTGCAAATGCGACGGCAACATTATCAAACGACACGCAACAATCTCAAACGACGCTCGACAATGCGAAGCGACATTTTCCTAATGTCATATCGTATGTCGCGTGTCGCGGTTTTGATATAGGGTCGACGCACGACAAGTTCAAACAACATGCAACAATCTCAAACGACGCTCGACAATGCGAAGCGACATTTTAGATACTATCGTATCGCATGTCGCCCTTCTACCGGTGAAAGGTAAAAAGTAGCCTCTTCACCGCCTGTTTCCATTGGTTTTGCCTAAAAAACGAAAGTGACTTTTTGACGAAAATATGAACTATAGCGTTTTAATAGAATTTTACAATTAAATTGCAGTTTGTAGACGTATATTATTAGAAACTAATCATATTTACTATCAAAAATAATCATTATGATGGTTTAATCGTCAGATTTTTGTATAATTTCTATACACAAGTTCAGATATCTTCCTTTCGCTCGCATTGAAAAATACGAAAGTGACTTATAAAATATCAAGTATGGCGTTGAAATAGAATCTATAATGACATTGCAGTTTGCTGGCGTCCGCGCCGAAGCGCGACGCCCCTTGTGGAATGAGAAAGGGCAATTGCAATTTCTCAGGCCTTTTAGTTGGTCATAATAGCCGATCATTCCGATTGGTATGAGGGTGTTTGATTATTAAAAATGGAATGAAATGTCGCGATATGTATAATGAACAGCGAACTGGAGAATTTCGCAATGCAAACATATTCAAATGAAATAATCTTTTCCGTCAATTAATCGCGCTCTTCGAGTTTTTTTTATTAATCATTTTGTAATACACAGTGGGTTATTATGTATGTTTTTGTTGTATATGTATCCGAAAGCTATCAATAGAATGATGACCTTAACATTGTGAAAGTCCGAATATCTCTTTTTGAATTACTACTATGACGTCATTCCTTTGTTCTGACCGTACTGTATTTTTAATACAGTACAGGTAGGTGTCCAATATTAATGTGTAAGTCCAATATTAATCGTGTAACACATTAATATTAGACAGCGTGCCGTGTCTTGAAAGAAGCTTGTATGACCACAGGATTTTGTGGAAAATTCTCCAAAGAAAAAAAAAATGGTTAAGTAAAATGTAACCTCTTATCTCAGAAGTTAACATCTTTCAATGATGCAACATCTTTCCTTTACCCATTACGCATTTTACATAATTTTACAAAAATAGCACTAATTGTTTTCTGGCTTATTTAACGAATTATTATTCCAAGCCTACTGATTTTCGATTTTCAAGTTCTTAACACCATATCACTGCTTACGCTTTCCAAGTGAAAGATAGCGGGGATCAGTTAGGATATGATTTTATGGGATTGTTTAATCTCTTGTCTATTTTCCGTTTTTTTTTCTTTCTTTTTTAAATATACGTTTAGTTGACACTCATACTTGATTTGCTTTATTGTATGTACGTTATGTTTCAGTTAAGTCAACTTTTCAAATAAGGGTAATGGTCAGCTTGTCAAATAAATACAACAGAGAAAATGAATTCATCTATTTAAACCAAAAGCGGTTATATTTGACTGCTTATATAAAGAAACGATACCAGACTTCTGTGGTATGACAAATATCAATTCAAAAATAAGAAAATATCATTTTTGTTGCGTTAATATCCAAAATTTATACTAATGGCACAACATTTTACATCCGTGATAGTTGTAGTAAAGTAAAAATATCATTTTAACACTAAATGGTCAGTATAAATTCTTCTTAAAAGTCATAGATTGTTTCAGTCAATCATTTAGAATATCCGAGATTCAACAAAAATTTGAAAACATTTCATTTTTATTATTTCTTGTAAAAGTCCCAAATGTAAATTGATGTATACTGTATGTGTGTAAGTCAAACATTTTGTGTAACTGGTATATTTTGTGTTTATCATTGTGTTCATGTACATAATTGGTCATATTTCAAAACACGAAAATTTCATGCAATGGACATTTTGTCATTCAAGAGGCTACCTATAGGGTTTTGCAAGTAAGAAAAAGATAATTGCTAAAACATTAATATTGTACATTTCTAGCACAAAAATACATTTTTTCTACTTTTTCGATCGATAACATGATATTTGATAGTAAAAGAAGTAATTTAAGTAAGATATAAGCCTCAAACTGACCAATAAGTAAAATATTGAATTCCCTTTGGCGCTACGCGCCTCATGAAATTCAATATTTTACATATTGGACAGTTTTCGGCTTATATCTACTACTTAAATAGATGAATTCATTTTCTCTGTTGTATTTATTTGACAAGCTGACCATTACCTTTATTTGAAAAGTCGACTTAACTGAAACATAACGTACATACAATAAAGCAAATCAAGTATGAGTGTCAACTAAACGTATATTTAAAAAAGAAAGAAAAAAAACGGAAAATAGACAAGAGATTAAACAATCCCATAAAATCATATCCTAACTGACCCCCGCTATCTTTCACTTGGAAAGCGTAAGCAGTGATATGGTGTTAAGAGCTTGAAAATCGAAAATCAGTAGGCTTGGAATAATAATTCGTTAAATAAGCCAGAAAACAATTAGTGTTATTTTTGTAAAATTATGGCATATGAATATGTCATGAGAAAATACAGGTCAAGTTCGAATTTGGTCATGGTTCGATGATTTTTGGCAGAGTTATGCCCCTTTACTTTTGAAAAAAAGGAAATTTTCAGTTCCCATTCATTATCTCCCCAACAGTTGTACATATTCAACTCAAATTTGGCATATGGATATGTCATCAGAATGCATTGGTCAATTCGAATTTAGTCATGGTTTGATGATAGCTGACAGAGTTATCCCTCTTGAACTTTGAAAAAAAAAATCAGAAATTTTAAATTTCCGTTCATTATCCCACCAATGGTTGTACACATTTAACTCAAATTTGACATATAGATACATCTTAGGAATAAGCCGTTCAAATTTGAATTTGGTCGTGGTTCAATGACTTTGGACAAAGTTATCTTTCTTGAATGTTGGTAAAAATTTGAATTTTCAGTTTTAGCAGAATGTATGTAGCCATTATTTTGGCTACAAATTTGCAATATGCAATTTACAAAAGGTTAACACTAAAAAGTTTCAGTGCCTTGAACTTAGTTTAAAAATGGTTTGTGTTAACATTGAATAGTTTTAAGGGCTTTGAACTTAAAATGAAAAAAATAATTTATGCAAACAAATTTGGAACTAAATATTATAACATCTGAAAATTTGGCTGCATGCGGGGGCATCCGTGACGTGACGACACATTTCTAGTTTACGAATTGTTATATCATTTTGTAAAAGTATTTTCCGTAGGTTCTTTCCGGTTTTCTTTTTTCG